CCTTCATGACCTTGGAAAAATCACCCAAGTACTGTGAGTTTGTGAAGGCAGTGCCATATATGATATTATTTTTGTAGGAGATGAGGGGTCATCAGGGCTGGCAGAGGGTGTCTCCAGCCATGTGTCTCTCCCGCCGTTCATAGCACATGGATGTAGATGACATGGCTTCTGGGCCCTTCATGAATTGTTTCCAGGCTTGACTGGTTAACGTGGTGGTGGTGGCTGACCTGGCCTCATCCTGGTTCGTTTCCCTCTGCGCTCATTGCCCCTCCTCAGCGTGCAGGTTAGGAGGTTGCAGGCAGTATGTAAACTTTCTGCCAGGTCTTTAAAAGCAGTATTGAGGCAGGATTCCTCACACGTGCAGGAAGGGGAGCATGGTTTGCTTCTAGAGAAAGAAAGGAGGTGTTTTCTGCCCATAACCCGTAGCTGCTCAGCCCAGATGTAACTCTGGTTTCGGTGAGACCTGACGCAGATGGCTATTTTAGCTAGCTTTTCAGCACTGTATTAACACCACTGTGGTGAACAGCTTCACAGCCATGCTCGCTCCAGGAAACGTCCACAAGATGGGGCCCCTCTCCTTGACTGTCATGAAGAAGGCTTTCAGGGCCGTTTGGCTCTAATTACAGTAACACTCTGAATGATCCCTGTCAAATCCTGCAGTAAGGTACCCCACTGTCAGAGGGAACTTGGCTTCCTACTTAAGCGGGATGCTGTAGCAAGCAAAACTGCTGAATCTTGTCTCTGCATGCAGCAAGGCACTGTAGCCTGCTGGATTAAAGTAAAAGGTGGAATGTCTCTTCCTGCTTGGAACTCTGTAGTTGCTCAAAAGGAGCCCCAGTAGTGATACATCACCACACCCTGCGTTTTATTTTGCTCTACTGAATGTCTATCGGTTTATTTCCTCTATGTGCCAAATTCGGATTGCCTTGGGATACCATTAAAACTTGATAAGCCAATGAGATGGAAGCAGCGTGATTTGAGTTGTACCCTGAGGGTATTCTGTTTATGCTTGCTCATCATGAGCAAGATCTTTTTTCTCATGTAAACAAATATAAATAGAGGTATATTGAGCTGTTTAAGGGAATTTTAACTGTGACAAACCATATTGGTTCCAAACAGGTGAATTAATATCCTTGCAAATCTTTTATCTAAACATGATTAGACAATCACGTTAGGCCACCTGAATATATATCACTGAAGAAGTAGCATTCAAATAATAGCAAGTAGTAAATCTGAACTTCTGCCACCCAAGCATCACTAGTGCTCATTAAAGGTAGGAGAAGCCTCTGCTATGGTATGGACTGTTCTGGGAGCCATTTTTCCCAGTTTCTTGTCTAGCAATCCTGTCACTTGGGGATAAGAGCTCACTGGATGAGAAAACAGGGGGTTGCCACCTTCATGAATAGGAAGCAGGAAAAGGGCTGATGAGCAATGGGAAGAATAAATAGAAGAATTGAGGAGAAGGCACAGATGCATTTCAAACTAAAGCTGGTTTGAGTCTTGTTTACCATCAACACATTTCTGTGTTGTTGGTGTAGCCCTAGGTTCACCACTGTGGGTGGAAGAACAGTGCAGGTTCAGTACTAGAAATTCACAGATCGGACTCTCTGCCTAAGCTGAGTTTCGGTAAGATTGTTTTGCTGTTTGTTTTTATCTTATAGAGGAGTCTTATGTGACAGCCTAAATCTTGAAACTGGGAATGGTAGATTAAGGCCAGATATGGGCTGTAAATAATGTCATGTTTGGCCTTGATAAAATGTGACAGAGTGTCTAGAACCGTGAGTCTGCATAGTGAGTAGTTCTTTGGGAGAAGGCAAAGCATGCAGCATATTAAAGTCATGCTGAAATTCACACTTTGTAAAGCTCTGAAAAAAAGTCAAAAGAGATGGCAATGCAGCTGATTTCTTAGGTGGAGTCCAGACCTGAGTAGCTGGCATGCTAAAAGTCCTCGTGTCTCAGCCGCAACAAGTTTGAACTGGTTTTCATTTAAACTTCTACAAATGCAAAGAGCTAATCTCACATACAAGTGCAAAGAGCTGCTCTAAACTGCAAATACAATCAGATTTCTAAACTAACAACCTTCTGCTCATTAAATTTGTGGTCGTTGAACTACGTATAGGTGAAAATTAGAATTCAGTTAATAAGTAACTTTTAAAATCATAGGTTCCTGCAATTTTTGTTTAAATGTATTTTAGCTGTACCAGATAAATTCTGCGGGGTGTGGTGAGAAAAAGGTGTTTTGCTCATGGTCTGCTCAACATTTCTGTTAATCTCTTCTGTGAACTATTCTTATGTACTTTTGAAGATCAGTTTAATTATTATTTTTTACCGTGCATTCACTCTGTTCAAAGGGAGGTTATGCTGTGAATTTTGGCATGTTTGTGGAGAGAGCCTCAGCAGTACAAGATGATTTATCCCTTTCTGTATAATTTCTGTATAATTCTGAATAATTCGCAAACATTCTTCAAACCATTATGCTTTTTAAAAAAACTTATTAATGCAGCATTTTGGTTTTGTGTATTAAAACTCGGCAATACTGTTATTTTTGTTTAAACACAGATTGTGTTTTAACATGTATTTTTAACAGATTTATTTTAAAAGAAACAAGTATTTTACTTAAATAGAAATCCCTTTTTGTCAGCTTACTGCTCACATGAACTGCTGGTGAAAGAAAACAGTTAGCAAGCAGGATGGTAGAGTTGTTCTAAACTGATCAGTAACACCCGTGTATTTCAAGTGTCACACCTTTGCCTGAGGCTTAGGAAAGGTTCTTCTGCCTCACTGTAATGCTGGCAAAGACTGTCGAGTTAAACTCCAGCTGCATGTTTTGGAGGTTATGTGGAGATTGACTGCAAAAGGTCAGGAGACAAGCTTTGTTCAAAAAAGGGACAGTTGAGAGGCGTCCTTAAAGGGGATGGTTCTTGGTGATGGGAACCTCTCCGTGTATCACCCCAAAGTACATTGTCCTCTGAAAAGAGTATAACTGGTGTAAAGAGGCAGGATTTGGAGTAATTTGTTTTATTGTTTACTGTGTTTTCTTGTTTTGTTTTTGATACTGTTTACCATGTTGCACACATACATAGCAGAGAAATTGGGGAGGACTACTGGAAGTATATGAAAGGTCTTATTAGGCATCTGTTTGAGTTAGAGAATCTAGAAGGGAATAAATGGTTAAGATATATTCTTAGCAAAAATAGTTGTGCATTGAAGAGAAAATTTGATTTTTATTGCCACCACTTTAGTAAGAGGGCCAGCCAGATCAAGGAATACAGTTCCAGTGCATGCATTTACATGGGAAGAGAGACTAGCTCTTGTTAATAACAGTGCCATTTTGATCGGTTAAGAGTGACGACAGAGCTAGGTTAAACAGCTTCTCAGATTGGGGTATTAAAAATGCTCTGTGTATAACCACTTACTTCTTGGTGGAGGGGGAAGAGTAGGGGGCAACAAAAGCTAGTTTGGTTTAAAAGATGCTGCCATGTCTTATGGCCAGTTGAGAGGAACAAGGAGTTAAACTGATGTCGTGCTTTACGCCCAGCTGGTAACTCGGAACCACGCAGCTGCTCGCTCACTCCCCCCCGCTCCTTCCTCCCCGTGCTCCTGGAGGGATGGGGAGGGGAATTGGAGGAATGTAACTCCCACGGATTGAGATAACAGCACTCCAGTAACTAAGGTATAATACAAACTACTACTGCTACCAATAATAATGATAATGATAAGGGAAATAACACGGGCAGAGGATACAATTGCTCACCACACACCAACCGATACCCAGCCTGGCCTGAGCAGTGATCTGGGCCTTCCAGGTCACTCCCCCCCAGTTTATATACTGGGCATGACGTGCTGTGGTATGGAATACCCCTTTGGCCAGTTTGGGTCAGGTGTCCTGTCTCTGCTTCCTCCTGGCTTCCCCTCCTCTCTGGCAGAGCATGAGACTGAGAAAGTCCTTGGTCAGAGTAAACATTACTTAGCAACAACTAAAAACATCGGTGTTATCAGCGTTGTTCCCAGACTGAAAGTCAAAACCACAGCACTGCACCAGCTACTGAGAAGGAGAAAAAATGACTGCTGTAGCTGAACCCAGAACATCTGAGCTTGAGGGATTCTCCTGAGAAGACATCTAAGGTCATAAACTGTTCAGAAACCTTTCTTCACTTGAGGAGAAATGGAGGAGTGTCCAGTTTCACCTTTACAATGTATACTTCTAGAGAAGTTACGTATCTGTGATGTACGAGGGTATGTTATATGCACAGCACTGGTGTATGTCTGTATTCCTCTGACCACTCTCAGTTCAGATTATGTAGTGTGTAACTCTCAGAGAAAAGCCTCTGCTGATTTACCTTTTTTGAGTTGATTTATTAGAACTTTTAGAGATGCCAGTTAATGAAGGGTTCCCTGGGGATACAAGGGACCAGCAAAGTGTGTGTAGGCAGCAGTAGCAGCCTTGGATTCTCCATGGAGGAAGGGAAAGGGGATACACACAATGAAAACTTGAAGGGAAAAAGTAGTCAGAAAAGCAGCATGCTGACAGTGGAGTCTCACAGGAGTAACAGCAAGAAGTTGTCAGGTGCCAGCCTGTGAGGAGGAACCGTAAGACCACATGAGAGGAATGGTTATGGGTCACAGTGTGCACGGACATCACATGGAAATGTAGTTATCCCAAGCAGGATGGCTCCAGGCACAAAGCTAGGAACGGTAGCCTGACATAAGCCCTTCTTCTGGCCTTACCGCACGCCTGGGTTATGCTGACTGACCTGGAATTCATGGATATTTATGACAACTAGAAAGGGCTGGTGCCAAGTGCCTGTTTACAACAACCATCTGGAGCTTTCACTTATAACCTTGCAATATCAAGTAGGTATTACTTGATCCTGCAAGGATTATGAGGTGTCTGCAGGGGACTGTGGGGACTGCATGAAGATGATGAGCCATCATGAAAGTTGTTACTGCAAATAAATTTTATCAATGTTTGCCCTTTTTGCTTTCCTGCAGATTCCTAGATGTCTAATGAATCGAGGCCCTGCCCATGTGATATTGGAGACAGGTTTGACTATGGAGGCCGTGGGCAGGAAGTACAAGTTGAGCACATCAAGGCGTATGTGTGCAAACCATCTGCCAGCACAGACAAGGCTGTGATTGTGATTCATGATATATTTGGATGGGAACTCCCAAACACCAGATACATAGCTGATATGCTAGCAACTAATGGATACATGTAAGAAACCCTTCCTTCTCCAAGAAATCCCACTCTTCTTCATTTCTAGCCTTCTGTTAGAACTGTTATTCCCATACATAAGAGGAAACTATTACCAGAGCAGTTCGAGTGATATATTTCCATAATACAAAACTACAAAGATTGTTGTGAAATCTTGCAGAGTACAGACATGCTTCCTTTATGCTTTGTGTTTACAGAAGTGACTGCATGCACAGAATGCACAATGCAGTAAAAAGTGATTCTAATGGTTTTCGTTGTGAGATGGCTTTAAAAACTAGTGTGTTCCAAAACAGAAGTGGGTATTGTGTTTTTAGAGTATTTAGAAAACAGTAATTCAAGCAAAATTATATGATGGGATTTAAACAGATTTTCATCAGCAGAAATATTAATGTAACATTTTGATATGATATTGAATATGCACATTGAATATGTGCATATGAATGAATCATATGCACACATGGGGAATTAAATACAATCCCCTTCCCCCCTGCAAATCTTTCACACTTATTTTCAGTGCCCGAGAGCAGTTAAATTCCAAAATGCAGCAACATCTTACAATAACTGGGTATGCTGCAGGGTACTCTGTTTGCAGTATACACTGCAAACATTCATAAAGGATTGGGACTGGCTTGCAGTTCCAAAAAGCAAACCTCCACCTAATACTGCAGTAGTCTAATTTTGAGAGAAGGTGCCTTTAATGCTCTCAGCCTGTGGAGCGTGATGGAAGTAACATGGCTGAAGTCTGTCTATGGAGGCGAAAGGAGCTTTATGTCTCTGAGATAAAGATGCTACCTTTGTGAGGATTAGGGTTTTCTGATACACTGGAACAATGAATTGGTCTATAGTCTGCTCCTTGCTACTGCCTTTCCTGAGGACTTGACATCCCCTATTCTGCTCCATAATTGGAATTACGTTTGCCTCACGACTAAATGCAATCATTCTCAACGTGAGACTGGATGTAGTAATTTTTCCCTGTGATTCGTGCCATGTTATACTTCTCTTTTAATACCTTCTTTCCCTCCACCATTACTGCTAATACAGCAGCGATCAAATGGCTGGTGTTTCCATTGCTCTAGGCAGGAGGACAGCTGAGAGTTTTCAGGCAGCAGTGTCTGAATGAAGAGCGGCCATGTGTGTCTTCCCCGGCTGCTTCAAGATGTTGCTGATCTTGTGCACCAGTGTTTATTGGGAGGAAAATAGCTGGATTTTTTCCACTGCAGTATGGGATGAGGAGCTATGAGAGTTGTATTTCAGAGACCACATTAAGACTGGTGGCTTGTAGTTCTTATCAGGGTAGTTTGAATGGGAAAGAACGTGTTCTAGGTGGGCTTGGGAAGACTCACTTTCAAAGCAATATGTAGCCTTTCTGACAGGTACTTATCCAGAGGTTGCGTAATTTTGCCTCTACCTTTCCAAACATGAGTATACTTGCAATATATGTTGATTTGCTTTAGGCCAAACTGATCCAGTCGTTTCACCATGATCATGCAGATACACGTGGTGTGTCAGGGGAGGGAGGGAGAGAGCCGAAGGCAGCGATCGGAGTTTTGCAAGGATCTCAATGCTTCCCTGTGGGCCGGAAGAAAATACAGCAGCATCTGGGGGTGACCTAGTGATGGCAGTCTCCAGAGTCCTTGCTGGTTTCCTTCTGCATGAGGAGACTGTATTATCCACTAGTGCCCACACCACCACAATTCTGCTGCTGGTCTCACAACACATTTCAACCAAGGTCATCCTGAATCACGGTTTGGGCATCACCATGGTGCTGGAACTCTTTGGTACAGAGTGGCCTCTTACTGTACTTCCCTTTATCCAGTCACTAAATGATGTGCACAGTAAAACACTCCTCTCTTTCGCCCCACACATTCTCCCTTCACTTGTTCTTTGCTGACCTCAGTCCATTGGATGTTTGGTGGGTTTTTTCAATAGCTCATAAGAAAGCCTCATGATGTGCTCTGTAGTAAAGAACAATTTTATGGAATTGTCTTTGTTTAAATGGAACTCATTAATGATGGTTTTATGTTAAATTGCATTATGTTATATGCAAAATCTGGAATTGTTGTAGTCGGGACCTAGTTTGATCTTCTTTTGCAAGATAATCTGTTGCTTTGCTGTGTGTAGTTTCAAATTACACTCAGAGCAGGTAAAATACTAGAGACAAAAATATTCACATTTTCCAGATTTGTATCACAAGTTGTGATTCTAATGTGCTTTAGTCATTAAAAAAAGACTATGTACATATCCATCAATGTTTTCTAAAGCTCATAGGCATTTCTGTAGAATAGTTAACAATGGTATTTAAAAACATTACTTTCTCAGGAAAAAGAAATGAAATAAAAATTATGCCTGGATAAAAACCTTTCCTGCTATGAAGGGCTAAAAAAATTGATGATGTTTCATTAATTCATTCAATTAGGGTTTTTTGTGTGCATGTAGAACCATCTGCCTAGACTTTTTTGCAGGAGGAGAAGCTTGGAAGCCTTCTGATGACTGGTCCAAGTTTGACGATTGGCTGAAAACTCGAGGTCCCAGGAAAATAAACAAGTAAGATGTCAGGGAGCTGGATATCACACTGCCTGGATATCACATCTGCTGTCAGATACTGGTTTCTTTGCTTTCTTTTCCTTTTCCTTTTGTTTGATTGTTTTCATTTGTTTGAGGTTGTGTGCAGCTGATCTGTCAGTGAAAGTGGCCTTTTTTAATGACTCCTTAGAATTGGATGGAATAGATGACCTTTTATTTTGCCTTGAACAGAGTCCAAGGACAACTCTCTCAGTGGTGGCTTAGTGAAGAGTTTTGTCATCTAATGTTGATCACATAGACTGCAAGTTGCTTCCTCTGCCTCAAAAAGCATGGTTTAAAAATGACCAGTGAAACAGCAGTGAGAATGCATAATTCTTATCTTGAGGCTCACTGAGTGTGATGGACTGATACTTTAAGATACTGTATGGAGAGAAGAAGAGTTTTTGAATGCACTGTAGTACTTACCCAGCATGGTGTAACTGGCCCCGGGTAGCTGATGGCTGGATAATCATAGAATGGTTTGGATTGGAAGGGACCTTAAAGATCTAGTTCCAACCCCATTGCTATGGCCAGGGACACCTTCCACTAGACCAGGTTGCTTAATGCCCCATCTAGCCTGGCCTTGCATATTGTCATCTGTTGTCAGGGCACAGTGAGGGCTGGCTGTGCCAAGAAGAGTATCATGTTTTCTCCTTCTATGTGCAACACTGCCTGAGCATTTACCAGCAAAGACCTGCCACTAGCAGAGATGCTGTGCTGCCTAATAACGCAGAAGGAAGATAGTGGCAAGACAATGCTGATAAGGGCTCACTAATTAGAGACCAAACTAATTAACTTCCTGAGAGAGCAAATATCTTTCTTGGATTGTTGGGAGTAGCTGTGTTGAAGGTTGCTGGGCTTATGTGTTTGTTGAGAAAGTTATGTGAGACATAACGGAATCATTTCCACAGAGCTCCTGCCTCAGAGGGGTCAGTTATTGTGGAAACATTTTAGTTTAGAGTCTGTCCCCTCTCTGCAGCGGTGGGAAGGAAGGGCTGGGCTCTGCCTGGCATTTCTTACAGGCGCTTCACGTGTTTTGAGTGTCAGCTCCAGCAAGGAAAGATTTTTTTTGGCACTTAATTTGCTTCTGTGTGCATTTGCATGTTGGTGGATCATGTGGTATTTGCAAAGCTGACTTATTGAGGGCATATATAGCTTCGTGCCCCAGTGGGGCGAGCAACTGGGGCTGAAAATACAGTCTTGAGGTGATATAAAAGACTTAACTGCAATCTCTCTCCCACCTGTACTTTCTTTTCACTGCCTCTGCATGGTACCACCTTCTTCAGGGGTAAATGGGTGTTTTCAGAACACAGCATCTGGGCAAGGTGTATTTCAAGCTGCATTGTAAATTCTGAAAATATCTACCATTTTTGTTACACTGACTTTCCCGCAGCACATCTCTTAGACACTAAATTACAGCTATTATCAGTATTTTGACTGCCCAGTGAATAGAATTCTCCATAAAGCTTTTTATTACTTTTTCTGTCTGTGTTTACAAAGCAAAAATGCATCCAGCTTCTCAGAGAATTTTAAGCTTTTTGAACTCATAGGTAGGGGTTTAATCAATCATCTACTTTCCATCTTTTTTTTTTCTCTTCAGTGTGTGTTATTCGTGTTGTGTTTTTATTTAATTCCGTTCAGATATTTTTGTTTTCTCTTTCTGATGATTTCAGATTAGCAACCCCTAATATTTATCTGAAATAATAATTTATTTAAAGTATGTGAAAGAAAATATAGTAACAGCAGGGTATGGGGGACGCTTATATGTATCTCTGTGTTTTCATATTTTCAAATATCAGTTTTACTATGGGTGCTTAATTTGTATTTGCTTATATATGTTTCAGAGAAGCTGATGCAGTTCTGAAATATCTAAAGGAACAGTGTGGTGCTAAGAAATTAGGGGTCGCTGGTTTTTGCTGGGGTGGTATTGCTGTACATCACCTGATGGTGAACACCTGATGATGTTGCTATGAGAACAGAGAGAGATGATGAAATTGATCTCCCTGCAACTATTGTTTCACATGGATTTTAAATCAAAGAGCCTTGGTTTCTCAGAAGGTGGTATCTCGGCTGGCAAACCATTGCAGCTTGCTTTTTGTGTGAATGAACAGATGTCTTGGGGAATTTGGCTAAGCTTTGCCAAATTACACCTGAGACAGGGGAAGACTGTGAAATTGAGGAGTATTTTGTCAAAATTCATTGTCCTTGGCGAATTGAGAGCACCTTGCTGCAAGACAGGTATTGCATTTCATTATGTATTTATTTTTGTAGAGACATGGCATCTAAGATGGAAAACTCAGTATTTTTCTGGTGTTAACATTTAATTTACTAAAAACCACATGCACATTCTCAAAACTTGCATTTGAAAATATCCTTTGTGTTTAGAAACATAGGGGCGTATAGGTTAGACTTCACAAACTCAGGTTTGTAATGTTAGTTCTACTGAACTTAGCAGCCTTGATGCAAGGTGAATCAGCTGCGGAACAGTGGGGTAGACATAGCAGACATATGTGAAGCCTGAGCAGGGGACCTCACACACATGCTTTGGTTCCCTTGGGTGTTGTGCTGTCTTTG